ACAATGGTAAGTGGGTGAGATTTGTCTTTGATGCCAGCAAGATCCTTATCTTTACTCTTTTATGCTCCTGGTCTCACATTCTATCCTTATCAAATCACACTTTTGGGCCACCATCACCTATCGCCTGGTTTTATTCAACACCTCCTAATAGGTCCCCTTGCCACCAATCAAGTCTCCTCCAATCCTGGCTCTACCCCGCATGTAAGAGGTCCTTTTGAAAATACAACTTTGACCAGGTCACTTCTTGGCTTGAAACTCTTGGATGAGTCTCCAATGCCCTCAAGGTAGAATTAACATGGAATGACATAGCAAAGACTACTAATTCCCCTTAATATTGTTTTCTCCTTCTTCCTTACTAACAGAACCTTGATTTTGTTAGGGAGAGCAATTGTGCTCAACTAAGAAACTACATTTCCAAGCACTCCTTACAGATAGGAATGGTTGTATGACTAAATTCTGGCCAGTGAGATACAAGCCAAAATGTCAAGTGTGGCATCTCGAAAAGCTCCACCAAAAGGAAACTAACTCAGGGGGACTGTAACCTGTTGCTTTTTCTCTCTCCTTCCATCTCCTTGACTGAAAGAAATAGTGGCTCAAGCTGAAGTGGCCATCGTGAGACCTTGAAATGGTCTTGTGGAGAGGGGTCCTGCCATAAAGATGGCAGAACTGAAAGTAAGAATGAGCTGAAATCTTTGATGGTTCCTCCATCATGGAAATAGTTTGGACTGTCTACTTCTGGATTTGTTTTGCATGAGAGAAAAATAACCCACTATCTTATTTAAACGGTGTTTTGGTGACTGCCATTTCTCACATCCATACATAATTTCTAAATGATATTCGTGTCTTAAGGTCTGGTATCTATCTCTTCAGCCTCATGTTCTACCCACTTTTGTCCTCAACCCTCAAAGACCTATATCTAAAGCATAATAAATTAGTTTCAGTTCCTTAAGCCTGTTTTCTAATCTCTCTGCCTAAAATGCTTTCTTCCCTCCCTTTGACTAGTTTAATGTCTACTCTTGATTCTAGTCTTAATTATCACTTATTCCAGGAAAGCTTCCTTTTCATTCTAAGTCTAAACAGTTATCCTTCCTACCCATTTCCATTAAATCCTATACCTTCTATCCTGTCTGGTATCAACTATAATTGATAAATTGCTTACCTGCTTCCTTTACTGGGTCTCAGGGTCAGTGATAGCAAGAACTGTGTCATGTCTACAGTTTTATCTCTAATATCTACTGCAATCCTGGTACCTTACAGCCAGTCAGTAAATGTGTGGTGACTAGTGAATGAATGAATGAATGAATGAATGAATTCATACCAAAATGAAAATTATGGATTTATCTGCATGAGCTTCTTCTAATAGGGCTATTTTCCTGTAAAAAGAGGTCAGAGTGTAACTCCTATGAAAGAAGTGGGTGGTCCTTTTGGTTCCCCTGATGTCACATGATATAGCCTTTTGTTCCACAGAAGCAAGAGAAAATAGCAGATTTCCACTTTTGTCTATGACTTGCCTTTATCAATATGCACTCCTCACTCTTCCTCCTTCTCCTCTTTTCCCACATACCGTGGCTTAGAGGAAAATTCAATCAAGGATGGTTATTTCTTCAGGGAAAATATCATCTCTAATTTAAACCAAACAAAACCCAAGGGATTGGTCTGGCTCTTTTGAGGTTGAGTAATGGGTTTAGAGGAGAATGTCACCATGTGCCAAATATTGCACTGATACCGCCAACTCTTCGCATAAATTTGACTTTTTTTCCCCAGCTTTTGTTACACTTTCATGATCTTTTTTTCCTTTCTGAATAGATAATAATTTGCCAAATGTTAACTTGCCTTGGGGTCTGTGTCTATGGAGAGACTGAAACCTGGCTGGAAGTATTTGTTTGCCAAGAGTGAATTACACTGCTTATGATTTTCTTGAATAATTTTGTGTTTAAAATAACTAACACAAAATTGTTACTTAAAACAAGTCAAGTTCCCCAACACAAAGATGAACAAAAACTTAAGGAAATCCCACAACATGAAACTTAGTATTGGCAAAAGAAGTCATTGTAAGTTGGAGCTCCCCGAGACGTCTTCATGGATGTGGTAAGCTGTAGATGAATATTAAGATTTCTGATTGAGTAGCAGAAAAAATAAAAATGCTAGGCAGCTTGCCCTGCAACTTGCAATCTTTGTGGATCCTAACAGGCAGAAAACTTCTATTGCCAAGAAGAGTTACAAAACCTAGACATTTCTCAAGGCTTTGGAAAAAAGTCAAGAATTACTCCACAGTGCAATAAACAGGATGAGAAGCCAGAATAAACCAGAATAAGGACATCTGTCATTTGTGGCTGTCCAAAGTCTTTTAAATAGACTCTATACTTTGATTGTTCTCCTGTTATGATTCCCACCTTTGTTGCATAGGATGGTGCTGGCATGTAATCTAGATTCCACCAATCAGACATGTAACTTTGGAGTAAATAATGTAAGGAAAAGGGCTGGGTGCAGGTGGCAGTGGCTTGGTTCTGGGACCAATGTTGAAAGTGCTGTTCTGTGGTGAAGTTCTGGGAGGAGTTTTTGGAAACTCAGCCATAAGTTTATTTCTCTGGACCCTTGAGCTACCTAATATCCCATAATAAATTCCTTTTCTGCTTAAACTAGCTATTGATAGTTTTTGCAACTAAGAGACCTAGCTGACATTCTGTTGCCTCTTGATAACATTTGTGGGTCTTGGCTTTAGAATTGCCCTTCATCCCTCACTGGTTATCGAGTGGATCACATGAAGTTGAAGCAGTAGAGTCACCATGTATAACTCATGATATAAGCAGAGTATGAGTTCATTGCCTCCCTCCATCCCTTTAATGTTTCTTCAGAGGAGGTACTCTTTCCTATTCTCCTATGAAAACTCTAGTGGATCCCAAGGCTTTTATGTTCAGGAGGTAGGGTTGCTTCAAGTAACAAACACAGTCTGAAGTCGGTAATTAGAATATCCAGGAGGAGATATTAAACAGATATCAAAATGTGATTTAATGGCTTATCTCCTCCTACTCCTGGATCAGCCTGTCTCAGCCTGGAAGCTTCTAGTAGGGAAGGGGAACGTGGTTGGCTGCTTCTCCATCTCCCTATCGATACTCTCATCCTTCCCCAACCTGCTGGTCTGGGAGTGTAAAAGGGATAGAAAAAGCATCAGTTGAACCGACCAAATAGAGTCAGTTTATATATGGCAGCTGTTGAAAGCAGAGTCTTTCATGAAGCACTTTGGTGGCTCTTAGGAAGCCAAGATCAAGTCTCTCAGACTTCAAGTTCCCTTGTCCTGAGAAGACACTTCCCTAATCTAGATGGTTACTTGTGCCTCCTGTAGTTTCTGGTAGTCCGGCTTTCATCTCCAACTTTTTGCTGGGGTTCTGCTGCCTCTTTAGGAGGCTGTATAGGACAAGCACCCAAGATGAGCTCTCACATCTGGTTCCCATCAATATCGCTTGCCCTGACAAACTCTAGTAGTGTTGGCTAATCTCAATGTAACAGTACTTCCCCTGTCCTTGCCACCAGAGCAGTTGGCTCATATTTTGAGTTGATATTCTCTGGGTGGACATTAGACTGCACACCCTTATGACCTATAGAGGTCACATGTTAAGCTCTTTCAGTGGCCCCGTGGAAGCCCACACCCCTCTTATGAGGGAGATGAAGGGGCATGTATCTCTTTCTAACATCTTGTTATAGAAATAAAGGACAGGTAAATGTTTTGTTAAAGATAAAATTCTTTCAACATCAAACTAAATTCAGCAAACATATGTGCAGTGAGTAGCGAGTTAGGCCCTGGGGATGCCAAAATAAATAAAATATACTACTTCCTCCCCATGTAGAAGATTTATAATTGCAAACAAGAAATTGCAAAATGGCATGTGCCAGGGAGAAATGGTGGTATAAATCACTCTGCTGGAATGATTTGGTCAGCGGAGTAGATACTTAAGGAATGAGTAATGACATAAAGAGAGAGTATACCACACAAACTCAATGGGAAATGTCTGGATGTATGAGTGACATGGGAAACTTTGAAATTGAGAGAGAAGATTATGCTAGGAATCCGGCTCATTGAAGGGAGAGTTTCCCTTTCATTTGCTACAGAGAAGTTTTAGATTTTACACTTCGAGTGACATCTAGGAGGCTCATGGCTTCAGATATCTGCATACTTTGTTCACCTTTAGGTGTCTACATAAGTTTGAGAACATATACTGAGAACATCAGAAAATACAAACAAGACTTTTGCTTCTCTAAAATTCTCACAGGGAAAATAGAAAACAAGCACAAGGAATTTCTTAATGAGTAGAAGTAGTTTCCTTGGATCTGAATAAATTAACAATAGAAGAAATTCTCCAGGTTATATTCTCTGGTCACAGTATAATAAGGTGAGAAATAGTTATTAGTAATACTTTATTGCTATTACTTTTATTGATGTAAGAATTCAAATGAATAACAGGAATACCATATGGAAAATGTTTAAAAATCTCCAATATAACCACTAAAATAAGACATAAGCCAATTACTTAATAACAGACCTTGGAGTAAATAACAAAAATTAGAAATCTTCGTAATACAGAAAGTCTTGGGGATGGAGTCACAGAAATACTCAGAGGTCAATTCATAGTTGTCAATGCTTTCACTGTTAAAAAAAATAAAGAGCAAATAAACAAATAAAGCATTTACCTTGATTATATAGGGGAAAAAAGCACATTAAAAGTCCTAAGAAAACAAGCAGAAATGAAGTAAAACAAAAGCTGAAAAAATTAATTGTTAAGAAAAAAATGTTGGGACTTCCCTAGTGGTCCAGTGGTAAAGAATCCACCTTCCAATGCAGGGGACGTGGGTTCGATCCCTGGTCAGGGAACAAAGATCCTACATGCCACAGGGGAACTAAGATCCTACATGCCACAGGGCAACTAACCCTGCATGCCACAACTACTGAGCTCGCGTGCCTCAACTAGAGAGTCCATGTGCTGCAAACTACAGAGCCCACATGCTCTGGAACCCGCACGCCAGAACTACAGAGCCCATGTGCCCTAGAGCCTGCAAGCCACAAGTAGAGAAGAGAAAAAACCCACAGGTCACAACTGGAGACAAGCCTGCGTGCTGCAACGAAGAGCCCACGTGCCACAACGAAAGATCCTGCATGCCTCAATGAAGATCCCATGTGCTGCAACTAAGACCCGACGCAGCCAAAAATAAATAAATAAATTTTTAAAAAAGAAAAAAATGTTAAAAGCAGAACCAACAACCCCAAGAGCTATAATTACACTTAGAAGACTGCAGATTTTATCAAGGAAAGAAAATGGAAGAAAAGGAAGAAGAAAAAGGAAGAAAAGCAGAAAAAACAACGTGGAAGAGACTGTTAGCAAGGGTTCCCTGAACCAAGAGGGAGGAAACCTGTCCAAGGGGACGGTGGCAGAGTCTCAGCATTGCAGGGCAGATGACACAGGTAATCAGAAGGCCAAAGCAGAGCTTCCAGCCTTTTTGCCAATTAGGGACCCTTCTCAGGCAGGCACCGAGAATAAGGGGCTCCACCTGAGACAAAGACAAAGAGAGAGAAGGAATGGCAACGGCCCCTCAGGGTGAACCCCACACATTGGGGAGTGATGATGTTCTGTTATCTTTTCCATTTCTTCTCCGGTAGTTGATGGTCTGGATCATGAGAGGCCCCTACTGTGCTCCTCAGAGTTGGGAGTGAGGAGAGTGAGATTTAACACAGGGAACAGTTGAACACCATTTAACACGGTGGGAGGCGGGGGCTGTCCTTACTCCTGGGACTGGGACTCACCGCTGTAGCTGCAGTGAGAAGTCAGGAAGCTCCACCAGGTGGGTGACCAAACAGAGGAATGCTGTGTCCATCATCCCAAACGCCTCAGTGCTTATATCCCCACAACGCTGGGGCCTGTCGGGTGCTGGATCACTGCGTCCAGTTGCCACCACTGTCTTGAAACACTCATGTCTCAGGACCATACTCCCCAGACAGAGCTGCCGCAGGAAGATGGCCTTGCCTCCCTTCTGCCTTCCAAGTTTCACAGGAGAGCCCAGGCAGAAGCTCAGTCATATCCAGGACCTCAGCTGAGAAAGAGTCTGGGAAATGTGGTCTATAGTTCTTCAGATTACCAACCAATCCAAACCCAACCAAACCACAGAAGGGGGTTGGAAACCAATGTCAAGTGCTGATGATGGTATTCAGCACAATGTGTCTAGATGTAGGTTTCCTTTCATTGACCTTGTTTGGGGCCTCAATCTGAGAGTAGATGTCGTTTATCTATTCTGGAAAATTCTCAGCCATTATGAACTCAAATGTTGCCTGACTTCTCTGGGTTCCCACTTTCTCCTGGTTTTTGGCCTCTGAAGATTCATCATTACTTTCTCTCTGTTGACTCACTGAAAAAAAAAAAAAAAAAGTCTTTTTTGGGGGGAGTAATTTACCCAAAATGTTAGGTTGTTTTCAACCTTTCATTTGGACTCTACTGAATAATATAAGTAATAAAAATGTCCTGAGATAAAATCTAATGTAGGTTTTATCACATGCTTAGTTTTCCCCCCTTCAACAATGAAAGTTTATTAAAGAAAAGCCAGGAGCTGAGGGACCATGGGGTTTATGGGGCTGTCTTTATGGTTTTTGTAGAGGCCAGGGCTGATCCACACTTGCTGGCTGAGGTTAACTATCAGGTCCAGCAAGGACGCTTTTGGACAGTGTTTAGTTAAAGCTAAATTTCGTAGAAATTGGTCTATGGCATACGTCAAAGCTTATTTCTCATTAAAGAGGAAAGCAGGTAATGGAACATCAGTTCTCAGTGACAGGGGAGAGAAGCAGCTTCTAACTCTCTTGGTGGTGTGGTTCAAGAGTGGCACGGACAATTCAGAGCCCTCGCCCTAGAGTTGCTAGACATGAACCATTAATTGGACATAACAGGTAATATTTCTGAGAAGGAAGCAATGAGCAAACTGACCTGCAGCAAATAGACAACATAAATAACAAGATTTTATTCCTCAAGAGGCCACATTAGGGAAGAGGTGCAAAACAGCTTCCAATAGGGGTTACTTGATGGGGTTCAGAAAACATTACTCTGAAACATGGTGCCTTGACATCATTGAATATCGGAAGCTAGAAAAAAATAGAGACCTGACAGGTGCAGGGAGAATTCTGAATGTCCCCTTCTCCCCTGAAGCAGCACTTTCTATACCTGCAGGAAAAAAGGATTCTTATTTCCAAAGATGGAGGGATGCTAAGAGGAATCCAGAGGAACATGTCTTGCTAAGTTTCCCAGTTTACTACCTTTAGCTCATATCCCTTTGTTCTATCATGTTTTTCCATGACTTCCCACTCTTCATCAAACCTAGTATAGAAACACTCAGGCTTAACTATTTCTTCAGGTTTTTATTTCCCTATAGAGGCTCCAGAGTCATGTAAAACTTACATTAAATAAATATGTATGGCTTTTCTCCTGTTAATCTGTCTTTGTCAGTTTAATTTTCAGGCCCAGCCAAGGAACCTAATACTTTTTCCTCCCCTGCACTTAACTGGAGACACTCCTGCAGCAGTTCATAAACATGCAATTAAAAATAACTTTTTCCCCTCACTGCAGGGCCATAATGTACTCCAGGAAGAGAAAGGAAGTCTGTTCCCTAGTACCTGAACTCCTTACGTGCATTCTCTCACAGCTAGCAGGGGCACAGAGAACATGGTGACAAAGCCTCCTTGAGAGCAGAACCCACAGATACTTTCTACCTTTCCTCCGGGTCAGGGATATATGTGTTCCACTAGATTCTGGCCATCCAGTTAAAGTGGCAAGGCATCCTAGCTGTTGATCTGGCTAAAGGCTAATGCTGGGGCCCAGGTCATGGCTGCTCTGGGCCTGAATCTTGTATGAGGCACAGATGTGTAGAAGGGAGACGTAGTTCACTGATGCACAGCTGCGCTTACTCAATCCCCTCCAAGCTTTCTCCGCCACATTACAGTGTGCTCATTAAAATATGCAGTTGTCCGGCCGCTACCCTGTTTAAAATCCTTCAATGACTCCTTCATTACCTTCAGAGTAAACCCAAATCTGTTATAGAAGATCGTTCATGATCTCAGCCAATGGTTACTTCCCCACTCCAACTATTCGAAACATTTTGGTTTCCCATGACTATATTTCATTGTTCCCAGTGTCTGGTCAGAGTAGACCATGCCCTGGGTCTCCCAAGATGAATCAATGAATTCTCTGCCCAAGGACTTTTGGGCTTGAGGGGAGAGAGAGACAGAGAGAGAGAGGAGGAGGAGAGAGAGTGAGAGAGAAGGAGAGAGAGAGAGGGAAAGATCAGTTAGACCATCTCTGGTAGTAAAAGTTGCAAGAGGTCAAACTCAAGTGTTGGCTGGTGACCATGTTTTACCCCAATGTGGAGAAGACCACTCAGCAATGAGAGAGGATGAGATCCATGGGCAGAGAAATGTGAAAGAGACTGAAAGGGAGTCCTAGCAGCATTGAGTACCCAGCTCCAGTTGGGTTTTATTACATTGTTGACCTGGCTAACTCCTTATCCTTAAGAGTTGTGTGTGAGACATTTCACAAAAATAAGGACATGAGTTTCTGGTCTCCAGTGAGGGTGCCATAAAAAACATGCCATGTGGAGCACTTTCTTCAGTTAGGTCTGCTTGGAATAGCATTTGCTGAAGGACTGAAGACATCCAGTTATTTCTAGATTGCCCTTGACTCAAAAACATGCCTGAAGAAAATTTTTAAACATTTTTTTTTTATTTCTTGAGACATTTATTTACTTTGTAAAAAAAACATTTTGAGGCTAGTTCTTCTCAGCAACTAAGACAAGATCCTGAGCTTTATGAAAATACCTGGTAACTTGAATTTGAAAAAGGTAACGTGTTGGAGCATTCAGTGGAAAAAAACTGCCCCCTAGGTACAAGTCCAGGCTAGCGATGTTTGGAATGCAAGAAAGAATCTAAGGAATTAAATTAGAACTCATTATTATCTGCAGAGCATGTCTTTTAGGCTTTGGGATTGAGCAAGTTTGTGCTGTTTGAAGTTGAGATGTGGAAACATGCACCCAAGAAATTTCCCTTTTGTTGTTAGCACAAGTCAATACCTGGGAAGCTGGTCGAGAAGAGGTGCAGTGAGGTGTGTGCCCTGTGATGACTCCTTCCTTTTCATTCACAAGAACCTGGCTCCGCTCTCCCTACCTCAGGGCAGGAGGTGACTGAAGAGTCTGTACAAGGCCAGCAAAGTCAGGCAGAAAGTCCATGATGTAGCTCCACACACTGCAGCTGAGAAGGGAACCACTAGTTCAGTAAAACCAAAACTGAGAGAGAAGTGGGCAAAGGGAGAGGAGAGGAGCGGAGTGCTGGATCAGTGTAATAGGATGTTCATAGCTGGGTCTTCAAACTGGAGTCCCCCCGAACCTACAGGTACACCAGAGATTAAGGAGAACATGCTGGGTTGTCCTTTCTGGACTTTCTTTATTAAAAAGAAAAAAAAAAATCCTTCTCAGACTTTACATAACAAGGAACCCAAAAAAGGGAAGGGGGTAGGTTTGGTACTTGCAAAGCCTCCTTTAATTAGGCACAAGTCAGTGTTCCACTGGCATATTTTGCACGATTTCAAGAAGAATCATTATTCCAAGTCCTCAGGGTGGTAGAATTACCTTGGCACCAAACCCCAGGGGTCTACTCCAAGCCCCTGCATCTCTCCAGGAGCAGGAACCCAGCCTGGATCTCCTGGTATTAGGGAGGCAGGACCTTATGGGACCACTAAAGAATCCGGCAGTTGGGGGAATAAAGGCAGGTCAACAAAGGTTTGAGGGTGGGACAGGGCTCTGATGCGTGAAAGGAGGAGTCTGGATACGTTTCTGAGCCCAAGCCTCCCGCCTTTGCCTGGCTAATCCAGCAAGTAGCTGCAGCTCCTCAGGAGTGTGCCCAGTGAAAGAAGTAGATATTTGGTTTCACTTTTTAAAGTAATCACAACTTAGAGAAACTGGCAGAGATAACATCCCTCCAGAGCTTCTGCTTTGATGATGCAATTGGGGCTGGGAGGGAGCAGCTGTGATGCAAATAGCTTGGGCCAGCCCAGGAGGAATCTCTGGTGGGTGGAAGTCTTTTGGTTAGGAAAAAAAGTGGCATCCTTGCCCAGTGGGAGGAACAGGCAGCTCAGACTTGCTTTCTTGAATCCACCCACTGAATGGAGACACAGCTGCAAGGGATGAAATCCACTTTCCTGATCAGTCTGCTCCTCTGATTTTAAGGAGTAGATTTTTTCCTCCCCGCCTCTGTGGAAGGGTCCTTTAACCACCTGTAGCAAAGGATAAAATAACTTGTTCTTCTCGGGACAGAAAATTGATCCTCCAGATCTGTGCCAGCACCTTTATTTCACACAGCTGATTTGTGACCTACCTGGAAAATCAGGAAGCTGCAGCTCACAGGAGGCTCACCGTTAAAGAAAGTAGAAGGCAGCCCAGGCTAAACAAACAAATGCCAGCCCTTAAACTGCTTGTGCAGGAATTGAAGAACAGACTTCCTCAGGGGGTTATTCTGTCCTTCTGTGTCAAAACAGAACTGCTGACTTCAGCGAAAAAGACACATGCTTTGCAAGATCATTTCCAGTACTGATGACAGAGTTACGTTGGTCCGCAGGGCCTCATACTTTCATTTACTTAATTTATAAATCACACCCTGCCTTCTTCTCCCTCAAAAAAAAAAAAAAAATTGTGGTAGCATATTACAAAAGCAAACAAAATGAGCATCCATGTGATCACAACAGAAACAAGGTAAGACAGGTAGAGGGACATGTTTGGTTAGAAAATATGCCAAAAGGAAAATCAATATTATTTCCGTGAATTGTGCATTCAAGTAGCCAAAAGAAAGAGCCAAGTAGCCAAAGAAACAAGGAAGGAAGGTGTATGATCAAGCCACTCAAGATGGCTTTTCTCTTGCTCCCCCCCGGGGACCAGTGCCTGCTTCACCTATACCCTATTTACAATGGCTGACCTTCCTACGTACTTGCCCCAGACCCCAGCTAGTGATTGTTCTAATCAAAGGGGTGGGGCATGTCCCTCTGCTAGTTTCCCTGGTAACTGAAGAGCCAACCTGATTTCAATTCCCACTCTAATTGGCAATCTTCCCTTCCTCCCAGGAGGGAAGCCTGCTGCCATGACCTGCCGGCCGCTGTGGGAAGTCGCTCCAGGACCTTGCTTCAAACGTGTAAGCTCCCCAACCATGAAACCGTTGATGTCTCTGTTGCTGACTCTGGGCTTTCTTCCGTCTTAAAGTTGGACAAGTCCAGGCTTTGTAGGCGTGCTGACTGCAGCCCAACAGGAGGAAATAGGGAAGGGAGGAACCAACACTTACTGAATACCTCGCTCTTCTATCCTTGTGCTGGGCACTTATCTTATTTCCTCCAGTTCTTAGCACAGCCCTAGGAGAGATACTGTTTCCTCTATTTTACAAATGAGGACAGAGAGATTAAATACATCAGTCCAGGATTGCAGGACTAGTAGATGGGATTAGGATACAACTTTTTTTTTTTTTTTTTTTCTGTGGTACGCGGGCTTCTCACTGCTGTGGCCTCCCCCGCCGCAGAGCACAGGCTCCGGACGCGCAGGCCCAGTGGCCATGGCCCACGGGCCCAGCCGCTCTGCGGCACGCGGGATCCACCCGGACCGGGGCAGGAGCCCACGTCCCCCGCATCGGCAGGCGGACTCTCAACCACTGCGCCACCAGGGAAGCCCCGGATACAACTTTTTTTTCCATGCTCAGTGAGGATCCGGGAAGACAGTGAGGCCCAGTGCTTAAGAGTATGTTCTAAAGAGCCAGCCACCTGGGTTCAAGTCCTGCCACCATCAAGTACTACCTGTGTGCCTTCCCACACATTCTTTAACCTCTTCCTGCCCCATCTCTGAAATGGGGATAAAGAGGATTGCATGAAGAAATCTATAAAGCAAGTACTAGTATTTGGAATATAGTTAATGCTCAAAAACTGGTAGGAGTGGGTGGGGTACTGCGTTTTGTTTTGTTTTTATTTATTTAAAATTTTTTTTATTTTTTTTTTTAGTTCCTGGATTTCTGCCTTAGTCTATTCAGACGTCTCTAACAGAAAACCATAGACTGGGTGGCTTATAAACATCAGAAATTTATTTCTTACACTTTTGAAGGCTGGGAGGTTCAAGATTGAGGCACTGGCAGATTCCATGTTTGGTGTGGACTTCTGGTGCACAGACAGCTGTTTTCTCACTGTGTCTTCGCATGGTAGAAGGGGTGAGGGAGCTCTTTGGGGGTCTCTTTTATTAGGGCACTAATTCCATTCATGAGGGCTTCACTCTCATGACCTAATCACCTCCCAAAGTCCTCACCTCCTAATACCATCACATTGAAGCTTAGGATTTCAACATGTGAATTTTAAGGGGACACAAATCAGTCTATAACAATATCTCTTTAAAAATAAGTTTGAAACAGTGTCTGTCTTACATTCCTCTACCATAATTATCCCTACATTTATGACTGCATACTCTATCACCTCTTACTGATAAGTATTATTGGTAATACTCTCTATAGAGAGAATAGAAAGATAATTCAATCTTTTATGACTGATCAAAAAAAAATTTTTTTTTTGGTTTCTGTTTTGCCTAGATACTTTTTAAAATATGGATGTTACTTTTTAGAGCAGTTTTAGGTTCACGGCATGCTTGAAAGGAGATTTCTATATATTCCTATATTCTCTCTACCCCCACCTATGCATAGCCTCCCCCATTATTAACAATGCCCTCTAGAGTGATACATTTGTTATAATTGATGAATTTGCATTGAGACATCATAATCACCCCCATTCTCTTGACAGTATCTTTCACAGAGCAGAAAATTTTAATTTTAATGAAGTCCAGTTTATCAATTCATTCCTGGATCCTGCCTTTGGTGTGGTATCTAAAAAGTTATCACCAAACTTGAGGTCATTTCTGCTGTGTTTTCTCCTATGTTATCTTCTAGGAGTTTTATAGTTTTTCCTTTTGCATTTAGATCTGTGGTCCATTTTGAGTTAACTTTTGTGAAGGGTGTAATGTATGTGTTTAGATTCTTTTGTTTTTTGACATGTGATGTCGAGATCTTCCAGCACCATTTGCTGAAAAGACTATCTTTGCTCCATTGTACTGCCTTTGCCTTTGTCAGAAATCAGTTGACTGTATTATGTGGTCTATTTCTGAGTTCTCTATTATGTTCCATTGATCTATTTATCTATTCTTTTACCAACACAAAATTTGTTTTTTACTAATAGAAGCTGGGAAATTTTCTTTCATCTTCACCACTTGCTATTAAATGCCACAGCTATAACTTCTTGCCCTAAGATAAGGCCTAAGAGAACTCCAGCCCTGAGATCTCGAAGAACGTGTCTCCTCAATAGCTGACAGCTGCTGCCTCAGCAGGTGGTCTGAATTGGTCAAGTTTTTCAGCTCCCAGTTTCCTGTCCCCGCTGGATGAATTTTCAGGGTATGAGAAGGCTGTGAAGCCTGAATCATAGTGGCTCACAAAACAACATCTCATTCAGATTCTTCTCCTTGGGGTCAATGATAGAGTTCAGATGCCTGACAAGGGCCATAAGGGGCAGGTTGTTCCTGGGGCCAAGTGCATGTGTAGTAGTACTGGCAGCCCATGGGCCACATGCTAGCCTTTCCTTGGCTGCCCCCTTCCCTGGTAAGGAGCTGGCAGGTCCAAGTGGATATGCCTACATGGAGCCTGTGGACTATACCATATTTACCTGCTTCCAGGCTTACTTGCTTGGGCTTTTCCCTGGGCCAGTCGTCTAGTGAGTGAACCACGCCTGTGTTGTGCCCTTCTTTAGGCCTCCGAGTTATCAGGGCAGCAGTCTACATCAAGGATGGAAAGGGTAGGGAGTGGGGAGTGCTGTGGACATACCTTGGATGTGTAAGTTAAGGTGTGAGATCCCTCAGTGTGTAGGAAGGAGCCAAGGGCTGGAAGAGCAAGGGTAGGGGTGCAGCAATCTTCCATACCAAGTTCGAAGAGGCTAAGAATTCTGAATTTGTACCTGGTCTTCCAGATCATTATGAAGGCATATTTGTCAGAGTAATAGGACAGGGCATATTTTATTTAACAGTTTGAGACTTGATTTTAACTTTCACATAGCTAGGTGTATGATATGAGGAAGACCATTTGTACTCTTTCCCATGGCCCCACAAATTTGGGAGGTGGACCTGTTGGTGAGTGATAGACATGGGACCACAATTCAGTATTCTGGGTTCCTGTGTTAAAGTTCTTTCAACTCTTTTAATGAGCTTGGCTTGTCCTTACTAAAAACAACTGGTTGGTTGTTTCCTAGATTTCCTCTGGTTTTATCCTGCTGGTCAAGTGTAAAATCTGATGCTGAATCAGAGAAAGTATAGTTACCCTAAATTAAGTTAAAATGTAGCTTGCTTTGGGCACCCACTCTCCCCTGACTCTTCTCTTCCCAGGCACAGTACCTTGTACTGTGGCCCATGAGCTCACCCTCTTTCTCCCTCTTTCTCTCTGTAAAATTCATCCAAGGGATGACCCAAGCCTAGGCCCGTGGGCTAGCCACAGAATTGCTATTTGTAGGGATAGAGACAGAGCTTGGACAGGCAGGCTGGGGTACTCACATGTGTTCATGGCTCATCACATTACAGAACAGATCCAGAGGTGGAAAGGGGAAGCAGACTGTGGGCTGGGGGTCCAGGGACCAGCTCTGTCATGCTACCACGTTCAAGAACAGAACTCTGAGCAGAATGTGAAAATTTGGAATTTGAACTTGGTTTTCCAAACTATTATAATCCATGTAAGATGATATAAAATATTTAATTTAACAGCCTCTTACTTTGACTTAGAACTTTCAAATATGTAGAATGTGGTACATAAGTCTTGATTTATTTTTTCACACCTGGACTTGAAACTGTTAGGAGTAGACATCTGCTTAGAAGGATTTTCTCCCTGTAGGCTATGCTTCTCTTCTTTCTGGATAAAGGCCTGGTGATTTCCATCCTAAAGTCTACTGTCAGAGGTGGATAGAGACTTTCAAACCTGACCACTGGCTGACCTTTACTTTCTTGCTGGTTTAAGCTAAAGGGGTCTTATATAGATTTTCAAATTGGACCTCAGCTTGTATCTGACCTTCCATGTTTTCTTAGGTCCTTCCTGAAGTTTTCCCCTATCCTGGGTGTGTTGAGAATTAGCAGAGGATAAAGTCCTCTGTACTCCACCCTCTCATTTTTCCACTCCAACCTCAAAAACATGCACACACATGCACAGAGCCACACAATATTCTTGTAAAAACTGGGGCTCCTTGTTCTCATCACTGAGGTTTTCTGGAGCTTCCTTCCTCCTCTTACTGCTCTAGGGCATTTTCCACTCAAAACCATTGACTTAAAAGAAAAAAAAAAAACCACCCTTGATAAAAAAAGAAAAGGGAAGGGTTCTTGTCAGAACATGGGAAACAAAATTCTGAAAATAGCTCAGATTCTCCTACAGACATGATGCAAGTGTTATTAAGTTGAGGAACTGTTGACACCAATGACATGATTGCTGATCCTTTGCTCTTTTTCTCATTCTTTCCCATCAGTATTTCCTGAAATCTGGGTTCTGGGCAGTGACCCTTGAATGCAACCTTGTAAACAAGCACCCACAATGCTTACAAGAAAATCTTAGAGCTATGGCCCCCTTTAAACTTATATTTAAATATATTTTTAAATACAAAATTTAAATATACTAAATATGTAAGTGTATATTTAAATATATTAATAAATATAAATGTAACTATATATATATATATATATTTTTTTTTTTTTTTTTTTGCGGTACGTGGGCCTCTCATTGTTGTGGCCTCTCCCGTTGCGGAGCACAGGCTCTG